ACAAAAAGAGTAGCTCCGTACCTCGGTCGAAAACTCGTGGCCACCGGCAGAGACGTAGCAGAGCGCGTCAGACAAGGTTCCTCACTTCGGGATGCCCTCAAAAAAGGAATTGGCAAGACGTATCGAAACACGAGGGACGAGCTTCTGCAAAAGCTCTCCGGTGCGGGTCATAAAAGAAAGAAGACCGAGAAACCTTCCTCAGTCTGCCCACGAGAAAAGAGACGGAAGGTTCTAGACTTTTTTGATATCTAGAGAATGTCTAGCGGTATCTTTACCCTCCACGAACGATCCTGTTTGTGTACAACCGGCGAACTAGCACTTTTCTCGCTGCCGCCTACTTCGTTTGCCCTGGAAAAATCGGAATATCTTGAGTTCTTTCCCGTCGCTAGTGCAACCTCCACGTCCGTTTTGAAATTTCACGTCCCTTCTTTGGGTCCACACTTTTACGATTTGAAATCGAGCTTCCTTCACATTCAATCTAAAATCGTTCGAGCTAATGGCGATCCTGCGAGCACTGTTGCACTCGACGGGTCGGTTACGAACGATAAAGTGATTCCGGTTCAGTCCTTTGGAAGCTCCCTCTTTCAATACCTACACGTTTATCTGAATCAAACTCTTGTCAGCCAGTACGAAAACTATGCCTATCGTTCATATCTTGATATTCTGCTTAATGCAAACCAGGTAAGTAGAGATCATTCTCTTTCTGCGATGCTCTACGAAAAATACCCAGTCAATACACCGGAAAAGCTGGAGATTACGCCGGATGCCAAGGGACGTGCCGCTCGCTTCAAGCGTACCGAGGGATCTACCCTTTGCGACCTGTTCTGTCCGATATTCAGCGAAATTTGTCAGCAAGAAAAGCTCCTACTTAATGGCGTGGACATCCGCATCGTGCTGCGACAAAATACCGAAGATTTCAGACTCTTGGCTGCTTCGACGATTCAACAAAAGCACATCGTTCAGCTTCCTCGCATCGTTCTGTACTTTCGACGAGTCCAAGTGGCCCCGACAGTTCTTGTCGGAATCGAAAGGCGACTGCAATCTACTCACGCATCATACCTGTTACGTGGAGTGGAGATCAAAACCAGAACCGCTTCTCCCGGTGTGTCACATATCGTTCTCGACGACCTCTATCCTCATCGGGTTCCATCTAAGCTCGTCATCGCGTTCGTAAAGAGTGAATCGTTTCAGAGAAGTCGCAAACACGACCCCTTCAAATTTGAACACTTCAATCTGAAAACGGCCGTACTAGACGTTGGTGGGTCTCAGCAGACGGAAAATTTAGATTTTAATCAGGATCTTTATATGAAGGCCTATATGAACTTCCTGCATCGACTCAATCGAAAAGACGTTCCGTTCTCTGAAGGTGCTTTCTCAAAAGACTCTTTTCTTCTCTACTACACTTTGACTCCCGACAGGGAAGAGCAGAGTTTACGTCCGATCCTCACAGCCAATGTGAGACTCACCATGACTTTCAAACAAGACCTAAATAAGGCAGTCACGATCCTGTTCATGTCAGAAACACCACGCGTTTTGGAAATTGACAAGGAGAGACGGGTCAGGATCGCTAATTGAAAAAATGGAAGAACATGAATTTTATTCGATGTTTGCAGGCAACCAGTGTACGCGACCCTGGTTTCGCAGTACTTTTTCTTGCGACGAGATTGGCCAGGAGAGAACAAGCCAGGGTCTTTACGTACTTAACACGGCACCGAGGTCATCTTCCGGCGAACACTGGGTTCTTTTTTTCATATCTCCAAAGGACAATTCGATTAGTTATTTTGACAGTTTTGGTATAATTCCAATACACGAAGAATTTTACGACTTTATCGGAAATGTTTCCAGCTTCTTCTTCAACAAAAAGAGAATTCAAGGATTCAAGTCAAATACGTGTGGACTTTACTGTCTATACGTCGGCGCTCTCCTGTGTTGTGGTGTATCACTCCGCGAATGCACCAAGACGTTCTCGCCAACCGATCATCGATGGAACGATCGCTTGATATCTGTACTTGTGCGGAAACAATTTCCATCTCCCAAGTTAGAGCTATCCTGCTGCAGCGTTTTGTAATCTCTTTTCAGTCAAATAAAAACAAACACAAAAAGTAAAGCATGAATCGTTTTATTGCATGCATTCATACGCATCGAAAACGCTATACGTAAAAAACAGACATGAATACACACTTACAATATAACATATTATAAGAATACATCAACATAATAACATTTTATCGTGGGGACGGCGATTTCAAGGAGTTAAGCTTGTCCAGGAGGTTCTCCATCATTGGGTCGGCGGTGGCGGCAGTGGGCTCCCGTAATAAAAATGTACGTTAAAAAACAAAATAAACGCGTTTCAAATATTTTTTCCCCTCACCTCACGTGTAGTGGCACGCTCTGAAGAAACAATGAACGCCCGTCAGTTTTATAGCAACCTGTTTACGAAACGATTGGCACCGCGAGACATGTTTGGAAGTGACAGCCTCCACAATCGCGAATTTGACACCGTGCATCGTATTAGGTTTCTGTAGTTTTCGCTCTTCGATTTAGGGCAATCTGTTTACGATCTGACGAACGCTGCGCGTGTTAAGTGGGAATTCGACACCAGGGTCGGTTGCTTCTGAGTTTATGGTTATGATAAGCCAGTGCGAGAAAGCTGGCGGGTCATCTCATCGTGTATTTTTGTAAGGAAAGTGGTAAATGTATCCGGCGTATATAGAAAGGTGTAGATACTCTGCCTTTCACATTTGCAAACCGGCCGTCATGACGGTCGTTCTCAATACGTTCCAATTTGAGACGCCCGCGTCTGTAACAATGATTGGTTCTTCGAAATCAGGCAAAAGCACGTATATTCGTAAATTGTTGCATTATAGACAGGAAATGTTTGATAAGAAGTTGGACGCCATTTTCTACGTGTACGTTTACGAGCAACCGTTTTTTAAAGATCACCCGGACGTTGTGTTCACTAAGGACATTCCGCAAAATTTGGATCCCGAAACAAACTCGCTAATTATATTCGACGACTTTTTCTCGAATAGGACAAAACTGAAGGAGATATGCGAGTATTTCATAGGCGCTGCTCACCACTAACGCCTCCGTCATTTTCATTACTCAGAACATGTTCCACCAAGATTCATACTTTCGAACAATCAGCTTAAATTCTACGGCTCTAATGATATTCCGATCGGTGAGGATTGTCGATCAACTCCAGGTACTATCTCGACAGCTCTTTGGAGGGAAGAGAGGGCATGTCCTTCCGCGTATATATTCGGACGCGTGTAAAACACCATTCAGTTACGTCCTTATCGACCTGTCGCAAACTTGCCCCGATAATTTCCCCGTGAGAACAAGGATCTTGCCGGACGAGGGACCAGAAGTCTTCTAGGACACTTCCTCATGAATCGTTTGAAGGGACATGCACGGTTTTTGCACCTCTTGTCCAAAGCTAAATCGTCTAGACAAAGAGATGTCCTTCTTCGTGACGTCAAAAAGGGACATCTAAATATTGTCACGAATTAAGGCGACGAGAAGGCGAAAAGTGAACTGAAAAGAGGGGTTTAATGGGCGAACTTGTGCCAACCAAAAATAAGTAACGAAAGAGCGTCGAAGCAGCAGAAAAGCAGGCGGCGATTCGGCGACGAATCAGAGCGCGAGCGAGACTGAGACTGACTCGACAAGGTCGCGGGAGCTGCTTATCTACCCTGCGTCACTATCTCGAAAGTTCGGCAAAGAAGGTTCGAGCAGCGCGCGCTCGGGGCGAGGATGAACTGGCACTTTCGAGAATAACAAAGCAGAAGGAAAGTTACGTCTGCTGCGAGAATGACCGGGAATCTTCTAGAAGACCGTGACGAAGCTTTGCCTTCTCGTCGGGCTACTGAACGTAAGGTCCCTGATTCGAAACCGGCCCAGCGGAAAGTATTTCAAAAGCCTTTTCCGGAGTAATTAAAAGTTTTCACGTGACAACTGCGTGGCACTGATCGTCTATCGGTCAATGATTGACTATCGACCGATGGTCAACTATCGGCCGATGATCGATCATCGGTCGATAATCGATCATCGATCGATAATAAATTTATTGATCGATTTTCAATTATCGATTATCGAAAATCAAAAAATTTTCTCAGATATCAGAAACATCCGTTTCTGAATGGGTTAGGATATCAGAAACATCCGTTTCTGATATCCTAACCTATTCAGATATCAGAAACATCCGTTTCTGAATAGGTTAGGATAGAATTGGCTAATGGCCGGTCGCGACTCCTACGTCAGACCCAGCGGCGGGCGCGCAGTTAGCCATTCAGATGTGAGAAATAGACACCCGCATAACCCACATATCAAATCCATAGATAATATAGATGTCAGATACCGGACATCCCGATATCGGAAACATATCGGGAACATGTCGATATCGGAAACAGATGTTTTCGTATTGATTGATTACTACTACTCTGGCCAACGCCCATGCCCTGTCATTGGTCCCTGGGATGGGAGAGAGGGAAGAGCCCCGCCCTGCGGCTCTGTGATTGGTCGAGACTGGCCCCCGCCCCCTCATAAAAAAAAGGGGGCGGGGCCAGCCCCCTTGTTTACTTCTGGTTCCATTGTGTATCATAATACACTACTCGCCTATCGCGCATCATATAACTCATTTTTAAATCTGCAACTTAATTTTTTTAGACCTTAAGATATACTCCACTTCTTATTTAGGGCGCTGACGTTTTTACCCGGGATTAAATATATGTTTAATTTGTCAAACTACGGGGATAAAAAGTATTTGTAAAGAGCTTTTAAGATGATAAAATACCCCGCGTTGTATTTGTGTTTTGTATTTAAATACTTTACTGAATTGTAGGTGGGCATGTAATTATGTACATTTTTTGCCGAAATATTTGGTAATAGTATTTCGATGTGAGCATTTTGCCATCCATAATAGCAACCTTTGCTAAACAGACGCAGAAAAGAAAAGAAAACGACGCCACAGCAATTATTTTACAGCTGGGCAAGGCTATATGGTGCCTGTTGGTTTGTTTCTTTTTGGCTCATTGATCCTCGGCGAAGTTAAATATGCGAAATACGAATAAATTGGGCATGTCATGCTACAAGCCATCAATGTTGTGCAAAATGTAACAGCTTCAAGATTTATTGATGGCCTGATGGTAACAAACTTTTTTTTTTCTATTTCAGGTGTACGTTCTATCAGGAAATCATATCATGGGGAGGATAATTACGTGTCAGCAAAATTCAGTCTTCCTGAGGATTACGAGGGAATTGTTCGTTGCCCAAACGACACCAAATATTACACTCAAATAATTAAAATTCGCGGCCGTGGTAAGTACTGAGTTATTTTTATTGAATGTGACGTAGCTGGCTAGTCTTATATTTTATGAACAGATGCCATGTACAGTGCTAATTACACTTGTCTATAACGCGCGAGCGTGCAGCTTTCTCCGGAGAGCGCTAAACTGGTGGCATTCGCGGAAGCTAAGCTAGTCACCTGGCGCAGCATGGAACGGCTCGCTCGAGGGGTGTCCTGCACACTCTATCAGCTTGATAAGCGATAAAAGTAAAATGCTTTATGATATATTTTTGTCTTTTGATGACGACATCGTTGATACGCCTTCATGTTTTAGTTTTATTGTTCGAGCAATGATGTTTGTAAAAAGCGTGCGACCAGCCTTCCGGGTTCGCCGCCAGCTGATAGAGTGGGCAGGACACCCCTCGAGCGGGCCGTTCCATGTTGCGCCACGTGACTAGCTTAGTTTCCGCGAATGCCATCAGTCTAGCGCTCCTCGGAGAAAGCCGCACGCTCGCGCGTTATAGACAAGTGTGATTAGCACCGTACATCACTGCGCCCGTGAATAAATCATCGTAGAATCGGCGGCGGTCTAATCGTAACAAAAGCAAAACTTCTGAATATCAAGATCCACAGAGAGTACCACACAGATTACATCGTGATTGGCACGCTCGATTTATTTGTGGTTCCTTGGCTTGGTGAACCTTGAGGGGTTTATTGAGCGTTTATAGTTGCCAACGCCTTTTCCAGTCGGCTTAGACATATGAAAGCCTTACAATAAAGATATGTTCTCCGTGTCTACATCAGGTATTGTAGGAAAGCTTAAATGTAGAAGAATTAGGCATTAAATTGTCCAGCTAAACAAACGCACTTATGGACGAAAAAGATACGCGAGAACTGGTATATCTTTTAGCAGAATCGCAGTCAATGTAGGCTAAAGTTTTACTGTTTTTATTAGGGAAGAGAAATTATTCGGTTAACCTACCAATTAATCAGTGATTGCGGTAATAAACGACATTATTTTTAACCAAATAATCCTTCAAAAGTGGAACCTTCAATAGAGTTGCCACTGGCATTATCCTAGTGATACTTCTATCAATAGCTATATTTGTAATCGTGAGAATCAATCAGAAAAATACAACTTATACTCCCTTGATATGTATCCTGTATGTAAAAATGTATTATCAGAAGTGTATCGTTCTTTGTTATTGTTTAAAAAATCAGTACTTTACTGACAACTTACTCTCAAAGAATATAAACTTGCCTAACAGTTAAATTATATTTGCTAAGTAACTTCCTGCTGGAAAATATTTATTCTTATTGGCATTGTGTTTTGTGTTTCATGTTGCTACTGCATTCGGAGGACGAGGAACTTGTAGAAACTGTGTTTTTTTAGTCCATTGCCTAATATTAGAAAAAATAATTTCCCAGCAAATAACAGATTTATCACATCTTTCAGTTATATAGATAGCTATTAGAATCTGGCAACTTGATGTTTATAGAAGGTGTATGCATTTCCTTCTGTCCTCTCTCCTAATACTGCAAACAGCCCAAAGCATTTCAATGTGCGCCAAAAAAAATGGCTTCACTAAGCCATTTCTGCATCGTAAAGACTGCAGATTCCAACAATCGAGACCCCAAAAGTATAGTGCTATAATTTCTCACTACATTTAGGAATTTATTAATCTTGATATTTTATTCGTATCAATTAAGTTATTTATTATTCGACTGAAGGTCAGGAGTTAATCGGTCAAACATTCTTAATCGGAAACGAACCCAGTTTTTCTTAAAACTAGAGCTTCAATTTTCACGCACCAGATCTACACTCCTGCAAAATTCCTACCCATTTGGATGCGACTGTGGTCACACGGGTAAACAAGGAGATTTTCACAGTCGCCTGCCAACCCCTTTACGTTCTGAGAGGCGAACCGAAAGCTGTCTGTCTTGCACACGGCGAATGGGAGAAACCATTTCCCGAATGTGTGGTACCGGCACCTTCAAACATTTCCAAGGAACCCAGGAATGTGAACCTCCAGTCTGCAAAGCCCGTTCTTGATCAAACTACTGAAATACCACGCCTGAAAGGTATGCATCTCACATTAAATTATATACCAGATGGGAAAGGGGCCCCTTTCCAGCGCAATTTTGTCCAAAGAGAAGATACGCTGTATTTCCCGTAGTCAATACCCTTGATCGACAGCAGCTTAAAGGTTATTTTTATTAAACATATTGTTTGCTAAAAGCCCTCCTGGGATGTTTCAGATAAGATCGAACAACCATATGCAATGACCATTTTTAATTTTTATAAAAAAAAAAGGAAATTTGCCTACTTTTCACATGCCCGGAATAATAAACCCAGTCCTTGCCATAAAAAAAAGTGTCTTCGCGAAAAAAATTTGTAAGCATTCTCCCAGTCACGTGCGCGTGTTGCGTATCGCGCGATGTTGGCATTTCGGGCGGCATCCCCCCCCCCCCCCCCCTCCCCACAAAAAAAAAAAACAGTTTTGGCTACGGGTCTATATATATTCACTGACAAATTATGCATAGGAAGGATTATCAAAAAGTATGAGGCACCGATTATTAGGGTCGTTACTTTGAGAAACAAAATCACAAAACTGCACATTGCACAATAAAGCTCTGGATTAATTTTTTTTCTGCGTATATATAAAAGCTGAGGCCTTCAAACTTTGCCAGTGTAATTCCCTGTATATAGTTCATCTGCGCATGAAATATTGTTCTCCTGGTTAGCGGGAGAAATTTACAAGGATTGCTCACACAGTGGCATTTTACTAAATATGCACTATTTTGATAATCATTTCGAAGAAACGGCGATATTCTTTAAACTCTCCGACATTAACGCTTATAATATGTACTTACAGAATCTGCAAAAACTTAATGCAGTATTTGTGTTGATTTGAAGTTATAAAGCGAGACATATGGCCAAATTGACGCTGACGCTGTTGCCATAAATGATGCGTGCACATACCGATTCTTCACAATTTCATTAATATTAAAAAGCGTAAAAATGCTACGGCGTAGTCATTAAAATATAAACTGACAGCACAGAGGTAGACGGCACTTTTTAAAAGAAACTTGCTGATACATTTTCGTACAATCGACCCAAAGATGCCCATGGGCCGGAGCGATTGAGGTGCGCCAGCCTGTAACATGCTTTGCTGTTCCTGTTTCAACAGCCGGCGTGTAGCGCCTCTGTCTACGCGACGTAAAGGAAGCAACCGGAGCGGCTTCGCAAACAGATCAGCCTACAACCTTGGCGGTGACATGATATAAGAGGTAGGGCGCGGCAGAACCCGAACCTTCGACGCCTGTGACTGTGAACGCCAATAGATCCGCCGCCGTAAAAAAGCCGCACAATGCAAAACAAATCTATCTATCTATCTATCTATCTATCTATCTATCTATCTATCTATCTATCTATCTATCTATCTATCTATCTATCTATCTATCTATCCATCTATCCATCTATCCATCTATCTATCTATCTATCTATCTATCTATCTATCTATCTATCTATCTAAATAATGCAAAAATATAAATGAGAATTGCGATTGAATGAGATTGTCTGTAACTTAATTTATATGACAACGATTTGGAGAATTGTAAAACCCAATTTTGATATGCTCATGTGACCTACGCCAGTGATGGTGCAGCAGGTCACTTTAAGAACAAGTACCAACTACACAAGCTGCAAAGCAACAAGAACACGTCAGCGAAGTGTATTTTTTCCGCAACTGGACATGGCAAGAGTGCCTGCGATAGAATCGGTGTCAAGCTCCAAGCAAAGTTCTACAACCTCGGACGGCCCACCACATCGGTGATCAAGTCAGAGATTGTTGGCCTACTGAACACTGAACTGCCGAACGTGAAACTAATCCAACTCTGAAAGCTGTCGTCAAAGCGTTCAGGGACATGAAAGCAAAGGAGTGGGACTCTGTTTCTTTTGTGCGTGGAATTAAGTCACGTCACTTGTGGCAGTGTACGTGTTCCGACCCTTCGCAACCACAGCTGTTTTAGCAAGACCAGTAGACGCAGAAAAGATATATCTTTAAAAGTAAAGTCTCCTATGGCTGTAAAAAGCAGATCGACTTCGCGAAATTGCGGTGCCACTGAGAATAAACGAACACTGATCGCTGGAGGCAAAACGGGAAAAGAATGTTCCTTCTCGGAGTGCCAGGAGAGTGCCGTGACGGAGTCAGGTCAGCGTCCTGCAGAAAGAACGCACGCGACAAGCGCCAAATGTGCGCGTAGGATCTTGACTCATTAAACTAGTTTCAATTGTACCACTTTAAACATGTGTTCTCTCTTATCACTACTTAAACCTGGTCGTCGGCAGGCTAGCATCCCTACGAAGGGTAGGCTCCGAAATTCACTGATTCGAGAAATCTATATTTAGATTTTTCACTTGTGCTTCAAACTCACCGGTAATATTTTTAATGAATACTTAAATTTTCCCGAACTTACGTAAGTGCTATCTCCTCACAGACTTCCTAGATTTTTTGACCCCTTGCTTGCCCTTGTTTGAAATCGGCAACGTCCCATCTTTCTCTAATTCCGTTATGGTAATTCTGTATATTTAGCGCTCTGTAAAGTAAGAATAATAAAAAAAAAAATATTGCAAGGCGATTTTGAAGGGCCTGATAGGACAGTTTATGAGCCTTGATCTGTCAAAAGTAGAAGGAAAATTAAGGTGGCCTTCATTTTAAACTGATTTTTCCATTATTGCAAAATCGGTAGCCTGTCTACATTTAAGTGTATTTTTCGCAAAGGTTATCGTTTTCAAATTTAAAGACAATTTATGCGAATATTGAACAACTGCGTCCAAATCATCTTAAACATTTGGAATTTTCAGTCTTTTAAGATACGGATCCATAAAGTTCTGAATTGCTTCGTAATCGATAATACACGTTTACCTCTTTTTATTTTATGTAGTCTCTGCACAAAAAATAAAAATAAAAACTAAAATATTAGACCTAAGGCTACAACAGTTTTTCTTTTATAAATTTCCAAAGGGACA